AGCAGGAATCACGTGCTTTTTTTCTTTGCTTTGACAAAGAAATAAGTGTCTTTTTTTTGAAATTTCTCAGCAAGCTCGCTCCAAGAGGGATTAAGGTAGAGGTACTCAGAACTGAGAAGGTTAACTGATGTAAGGGGCTAACACCCGATCAGCGTGTCGCTGAGCAAAACTTTATACACGCTTTTCTAAACTCTCATGGCTTTATCTCCACGAGTAGTTTTCAGTGTCAGAAATAATATAATTCCTTGAAGAATACACTGGTGGAGTTTCCCTGAAGAGATGATGCTTTTTCAAAGAGCTGCTGCCCCGAGCAGGCACAGCAATGACTTAAAAGCCATAATCATTTGAAGCTGCCCATGTTTTGTTACCCGCCTACGACTGGGTGCCGTTCTCACGGGCGAGTCAAACCCGTGCCTGACCTTTTCACTTCTTCTCGAGTGACTGAATTACCCCTTTCCTTGCTCTTTTTTCATCCTTGGCAAATCGCAAACTGCAGTATTGTAATGACAGGTGATAATAACGTTGTTGTAAATTAACCGGGAGGCAAGCGGAGCGGCTTGGACGGCCTCAGGGCAGCACTGCTGACGAGGCGCCCGCGGGAATTTCGAGCTGGGAGCAGGAACCTGCTCAGTCGCCCAAGTTACCGAAGCAAAGGGAGGTGACGGTGTGTTAATCCGCAGATGCTTTCATTGCCACGAGCTGTTAACACCCCTTCGGAGGCACGGTGGCCTGGTTCCTCGCTGGGAAGTTGTAATTCTCCCATAAAACCGAGCCCAGGGCTCAGCAGGTACAAGCCCGGGTCGGTGAAAAGCAGTTTCCCTGTCTCCATGCAGCACGCGGCAAGGAGAGGCTGGTGAAGAGTGAAACGAATAGCAGTTGCCACGCCGTGCTGTCTGAATGACTCCTGCGGACAAGTCGGAGGCGTTTGGAGGTGCTAAGGTAACGCGAAGCAGCAGCCTTACGTACCCCGGCGCCGCCGGTGCCCGTGCAAGTCGAGAGCAGACGTAGGGAGCGTTTGGCTGGGGATGCAGTTTATTCTCGGCTTGTCTTGGTAGCGTATCTTTTGCAGTTCTCAATGTCATCCAGTATACCCTGCGTGCAATTAATCAGTAACAAACGCACGGTGCTGCACGCTGCGGTAATTGTGTGTTTAACTTCTCCAGCTGTCCGGGGCAGATGTCGCTGATGGGGCCGGCTGAGACGCATCCGTTACTGTCGGCTGCAGGCGGGGAGGCTTCGCAGGGAAATAAAGATGCACCGAATATATCTTCACTGCATACTGTAACTTGAATCAGCTCCTGAAAGACCAGTTGCTCCAGGAAACGGCGTTAGTCTGACGCACTTTGGGAAACGGCTGTGCAGCACGCGTTATAAACGGAGCAGCAGGAGGCGAGGAAAATCTTCCTGAAAAACACAATAAGCAGTAAACAATGCATGCAATTAGCTCTTTAAGAGATTGAGAAAGGGTCTAGTACTTCTCATTGATGAGGAGAGCGGCACATCAAAGATTAAAAATAATCCCCAGGGGGTTAGGGAGCCTGCGCTCTTTTTATCTCTACCCAGTAAGGCATCCTGATGTAAAGTGTACCTGTGTGTGTGTGTGTGTATATATATATATGTACATGTTCACTTGTTTTATTATACCTGGGTAAACATAAACACTTTCTTTTGTGGTTTCTAATCCAACCCTTAGCTTTCCTTCACCCCGAGTGGTTTGGTCTGAGTTAGTTGCCTGGGAGAAACGACTCCTGAAATGACTGTGCGAGATGCGCGGGGGACCCTGAGCCTGGAGGCGTTTGAGCTCGGGAATTCGGGCTGGCTCACCTTGACGGAGGCTCTTCCTAAAGTGCCGGCTCATCTCTCCGCATGCCGAGTTTCCTCTCCAGGGTCTCGTGCTGAGCAGCCCAAGACTGACTTTTCAAAATCTGGGAAGGATATGCATAAATCTATTTTCAAAATAGTTTTTAAAAGCACTGTCTCAAGCATGTCTGGCTATTTAACATACATGTGACAGTACAAATTTATGCGTGTGCAGATTTAAGAAACATTCATTTTGGAAATATACTTTGATGATGTGAAAAACACTTTTGAAAAGATGATGTGAAGAAAGGTCTTCTGAGAAACCTCCCACGAGCTCTGCTCGCTGTTTGCCTCTCACCGCGGCGGTGAGGAGCCGGGAGCGTGGGAAGCGCTGACAAGCTGTAAAGCACTGATCCGCCCCGTTGTGCCTACCTGCTTCTCCAGCTCTCTCCACAAACCCTGGACCGACCGATTACTGCGTTAATCCCAGAACCTGCCAGACCTGAACAACATGAAGCAAGTTTCCTTCCTCCATTCTCCAGGTGCAACAGGTGTGTGCACATATATATATATATTTTAAGCGAAATATAGAAGGCTGTACTCTGACTATGGTTGGAAAAGTCAAGTTCAGTTGACTTCAGGATTGGGATTAAGCAAACAAGGAGCAAATCTATTCGTAACTGTAGATACCTAGTTAAACCCACCAAGCGCCTTCATCTTGACAGTGTCGCCTTAGCTTTTTCTCCTTCCAGCCTGAACATTAATTATTTGGTTTAAATTGCAGGTGAGTCCTAAGCACGAGTCTCAGAGATTTTCCTCGCGGGTGATTTCACAGCTGCAGTCAATGCAATGCTCTCTGGCATCCAACAGCTCACTAGCTCCATGGTGTTAGCCAGAAATCTGCAGACGTGGATGAAATGGCTGGGCGTACAGCGACAACTGTGTAGTTGGGAGCCCACTGAGCCTGTCAGCAGCGGGAAATGATGGCCCTTGTTAGCTCTTTAGCCTCATTGGGGGCTTCATCTGGCTGTGTGAAGTGGTCAGGAGGCTGGCAGCTCCGCAGCCGGCTCCCTTACAGCGCTGATGAGGGCGATTATCAGATGGGGAGGTAACACCTCCTGGGGACTCCTCATATGGCTCATAAAGACCAAGATCAATAATTTGGGTGGCTTCAATTTTATATCCACCCACTTCTGACTGAAGTGATCGATACAGGCAATATCCGTGTCTAGGGAGATTTTAATGTTTCTTTATAGACGTGCATGAGGATATGTTATGCCCTTTTGTGCAAACTGGCAGCATGGTTTTTGGGCTGGGATTAGCTGTAGGGTTGAGTTACGTGATATTTGCAGAAGAATAGCTCTCCAGGGCATTGCCTTTAGCTTGATATTGATGATTATTATGTACAGTCACCGACAAAAATATGTGCCAGAAAACCTAGATCCTGGAGTCAAACTACTTCTACAATCACAACAAAGCAGCTGTAATGCAGCAGGATGCAATGGAAATGCCTTGGCCCGTGCGCACACACGTATGCAATTTTGACTAAGGGCCTGTTTGTGCTAGGAGACTCACTCTACAAGAAGGCAGGTAGCACTACCGTGTCTTCCCCTCTAGGACCCAAAGGGGAGAAGAAAAGGTATTTTAGGCTCATTAAGGTTCCTGAAAAGGCAGTGTTTCTCAGCAGGAGCCTCGTCCCCTGTCATTGCACCTGCTGGAGCGGCCGCTCCTGCGCCCTGCTCTGGGGTCGCTTCTGCGTTCTGTCTCCAAAAGGCAGGTTCTGGCAGAAGGAGCACCACCATGACTCACATGGACGTTTTCTTCTCCCCCAGCTCTCATTTCAGAGAGGTGAATCTGCATTACAGCAGTTGCATGTGAACCTCTTTGTTTGCAGTAAGGCAGACTGGGCTGGGGAAACCGTGGGTATAAAACGACCATTTTAATGCACAAAAGGATCCACGCTGGGGCATGAATCAGGGGGCATTTCAGGAACAAGCTAAATTATTTGCTGAACAACTAACTGTGCTGGGATAAGTAGTTACGTTTGAAAATGGCTTTAAAACACTTAAATAGAAAAGAGTTGTCTATGTTTATTTAAATATGAAATTTGCTTGACCTTGCTCTAAATTATGCAAGGGGAAAGTTTAATTCTGCACCAGCGATAAGTTCAAGAAGTGCAAAGCTTTGCAAAGCTATAGGCCTGTAAAAGCTACTAAACTGAAGGAGTTTTACCTTCTAAATAGTTGCTGGCCCAGGAGACCTAACAGAAAACTGATGTGAAAACTGATGTGATATGGCTCTGAAATACAGAAAAATTTCTTCTGGGTGGTCTTTCAGAAAGTTTGGGTTACTTTAGACTGACTTTTAGAGTTGGGCTAACAGTAACAACTATGTACGGATTTCCATGTGGAACAGCGTCAGTGTATTTCTGTTGCAATATTAAAACCTCGCTGTAATAACTCTAAAAACACTTTCCAGTATTTTGTCTTATGATGTATGTGTGAAATAATTCGGGGTGTCTTCAGGAAGTTTTCAGCATCAATTTCAGATGAATGCCATTCATCTCTCCTGCAGGCAACTCACCGTGGTGCCAGGAAAACCTCCTCTCTGTGGTACAACATACCCCTTGAATTATATGAAGCTTGTAGTAATAGCAAGCAGTTCTCACAGAAAGCATGCATGTTACAATTTTAATAATACATGCAAGCTGAATAGTATTATTAAAAGTTGTGTTTGTTTGGAAGTTTGTGAGCCACCGAGTGAAAATGCTGTCATGCAGAGTGGATTTGCAGCTGCTTGCGAAACGTGTAGCTCAGTTTTAACTGAAGGATGACACCATGCCACAGAGCTCCTGTGTTAATCGTGTCACGGGGAGCGAGGCTGGCTAATGGGGACTGTGCGAGCTGAACAAAGAAAACGCCCTCCTTAGCTGGGCGCCTGCTATGGGCTCCTTTCATCGAAACGCTTATACTTAATCAAACCTTTTTTAAATGCAAGTTACAATCACAGACTCACAGAATGGCCAAGGTTGGAAGGGACCTCTGGAGATCATCTAATCCAGCCCCATGATGAATATAACATCTATACACAGCATGCATACGTGCCTGTCAGCAGACCATCCAAGCCAATATTGTTAAAATTCAGATGAATGAAAGTT